GGCCTGCGAGGGTCACAAAGGATTGAAGGCACTGAGCCGCATGGACTTTATGGCTGGGTTGTTGTTCACCACCCTGAAAGCGGACCCGGGGGACATTAGCTGTGTAGTGGCCTTTGATAACTATAGGCAGCGGAACATAACGTTTGCGAACGCGAAGGCCTACACAGCCTTTTGGGAGGCGCACAAGGATGCCGTAGAGTGTGGGGAGCTGGACGGACTAACCTTTGAGGTGGGACAGAAGGCACGGGAGCGCAAGGTGTTCCTACGCATGTATAATGATGTGTTAGAGGGGGAGGACGTGAAGTTTTGGTTGGAGGGGAGAGTGCAGAGGGTTCTTCACGTGGAAAGAGTATTAGACCGGTGGAGGATTTGGACGGGGTCTTGGAGAGCGAGGGACTGATTGCATGAGGAGGTGGGGAATCCCGGAGGAGTGCGGCACTTACCTCCGGTGGTACAAATTGGGCCACACAGGGGATACATCATGTACCATGATCTGCCCAAGGTGTGCACCAGGTGTGGGCAGGGAGGGCACCTGGCAGCCTTTTGTCAACTAACCGTGTGTTTTTGGTGCAGGGGGATGGGGCACAGGGCTCAATTTTGCAAGGAGAAGTTGGCCTGTAATGGCTGCGGGTGGGAGGGGCACATACAAAGAGAGTGCCCTTTCTCATATGCAAACAGGGTATGGGCTACGGGAAACCGAGAGAGACAAAGAGGAAAGGAGGGAGAGGGGGCGGGGGAGCAGCCAGAGCTGTTTGCGGAAGGAGATGATATGGTGGTGGAGGAAACACCAGGGGAAGCTACACCCTCCAGAAAGAAATTATGCTACCGTAGAAAAAGAATGTTTGGCGATCAAGTGGGCCATAGAAACGCTCCGATATTATCTGTTAGGGTGGAAGTTTACGTTAATCACAGACCACGCTCCGCTGCGATGGCTACAGAGTATGAAGACCAATAACGCAAGGTTAATGAGATGGGCCCTCAGTCTTCAACCATACTGCTTTGAGGTGGAGCACCGTCCTGGGAAAAAAAAGGTAAGTACAGATTCTTTATCAAGACAGTATGGAGAGGAGGAGGGTCCAGAGGAGAAAGGAGTACGCCCCAGAGGAGAAAGGAGTACACCAGACAAAAGAGAAGAGGTGGGCGTGTATAACAGGGAGCCCTAACCCTGTCACTAGACAGCAGACCCGCACCTTTAAGACAAGGACTTTCTGGGCCCGGAGTGCTGGTGTGGAAGGGCGTAAGGACGGTACCGGCCCACTAGTCAGCCAACCAGAAAGGGGCAGGATAAGAAGCCGGAGCAGAACAACATAAGGGGAAGGAGTGCCCCTTGAGAGCTCCACAGAGAAGCTGCTGAGTGGCCCAAAGGCGGGAACCATGAACCTGTGGAAAGACGGCAGCTTTGTTTTACCAAGGTTGGCTAGTGTGGGGGGGGACTGCCCGTGGCGGGGCAAATCCCATAAAATCCCACACGGTGCGCCTTGGGGAAAAGGCGAGCAGGAGGCGCCTTAAAACCTCCGCCTCTACCTACTCGAATGGTCAAAGAACATGAGCTGGGACCGGAGACAAAGGACGTGCGGTGGAGAAAAATCAAGACCCGGCCCGGTGAGTCTGAATCTTAAGGGGGGAGGTGTGTAGCAGGGCACTAAGGGCCTGCTACTTGGAGAGCCGGAATAGCTGATCAGGTGCCGGTTGCTAGGACGACCAGAGGGAGCCAGTGTCCCACACCTGCTAGCGGTCAGCTGACCAGAAGGGGAGGGCCTGGCTCCCATTTAAACACCAGGACTGAGGCCAAGGGGGCAGTTCCCTGACAGCAGCCAAGGAGGAAGGAGGTCTCTCATGGAAGGGAAGAATGTAGCCTGAATGCAGGAGCAGCATCTAACACTGCTGCGGGAGGAAGTATCCCCGGTAGGCTTGAACGTGGTTATAGCTGGGCGGCTTAAGTTTTATGTTATAGCCAAGGGGCTTGCGTTTGTGTTGTCGTTTAAAACCGGTGGTTTGGGTGAGGCTACTAGGGGTGGAGGAGGCCTCATAGGGGACCCACAGCAGTGTGGGAACCCCAGCATCAGCGAGGGCACAGCATTTGAGGTGCACGGACCCCAGCCCTAGATAGGGGCAGTTGAGAAGCCCCAGAAAGGGGACGTTGCTGAGAAGCCCAGTGTGGGTGTGGTAAGCCCCAGAGAAGGGGGCAGCATTACTGAGAGGCCCCAGAGAAGGGGGCAGCATTGTGGAGAAGGCCCAGAGAGAGGGCAGCATTGTGAGAAGGCCAAGGGGGTAGTGGGTATTGGGGCTTGTGACCCTCCGGCTGGGGGGGCTGGCACCTGGGCCTTTGGGCCGGGCTACAGATTGGAGCGGGGAAAAGGGGCCACGGGCCTCAAGACAATAGAAAGGGCTAGAGCCTCAGAGTCAAACCCTGTTTAGTGGGTTTAGACGGGGAGGCCTAGCTAGAGAAAACCAGGGGTCAGTCTCATATAGGGGAAAGGCCCCAACATACCCAATACAATAGGCAGCCTCCCTCGCAAGAACATCATCATAATTTCCATCAAGACGGGGCGGCGAGTATAGGGCGGGACATAACAACCCTAAAGAAAGATCCAAGGGCGCCCCACGCAAGGCGCGAAGTACTAGGAAGATGGCGCTAGGAAGGACGACCTGTTACGGGGGGAAAGTGGAGAGGGTGGCACGAAGGGAGATATATAAGGAAGGGGAGCAGGGTGGGTGGAGAGGACTGGAAATTGAAGTCTTTGTGTACGGACATGTGGTGGCAGGCATGGTGAAAGAAGCCCTGGGGGGGAGAAGGGTATTCAGGGAAATTTGGGAGGTATTTTGGGGGGGGGGGCAGGATTTGGAGGTCATTGGGGTTGTTCGGGGAAAGGTGGACGGGGCTATGGGCGGAAGAGCCATCCCTGCATTATGGAAGGGTGGGAGCATTCATTAAGAATAAGGGTTTGGGAGGTCTGGGGGTAGTGGAGTTACAAAAAGAGAAGGGGATGTTCAAAGTTATCAGAGGGAAGGATAGTCTGACAGATGTGGGAGAGTCATCGTGGGCACAGGTGCAGCAGGTGTGGAAGGGGATTGTGGATAAGAGGTGGGAGCAGGGGCACAGGGAACTAGGGTGGAGGGTAGTAAGGAAGGTTTTGATGGTGAGGGAAGTACAGCATAGATGGGGACTAGCCAGATCAGCAGAGTGTGTCCAAGGGAACTTTGCCAGGGGGAGGAATCGGTGCCCCATGTCTTTTGGGAATGTGGGTACGCACGGAAGGTGTGGGGAAGAGTGGGGAAGTTTTTACGAGAATTAGGGTGGGCACAGGGGATTTCGTAGGAAGGGGCACTGTATGAGTTAGTCGAAGACGGGGAGAAAACCTGGGAAGTTCGGGTGATTTTAATGGGTATGCGAGTAGCATTGTGGAAGGTGAGGTGTTTCCTGGTAAGGAAGGGTTTAAGCTTCACAACAAAGGAGTGTTTACAACTAGGGCGTCATGAAATAAGGCGATATACGGAGGAAACAGGAGAAGGAGGGCACGATGGAGTATCGAGGAAAGAATGACGGGGAATAAATTGGAAAAGGCTATTTGAGCCAGCAGAGATTGGCTAAGGAAGAGAAGAGGACAGTGTGGGGGGGTGAAGTAGGGAGTGAAATAGAAGGGACAGTAGAAGGGACCATAGGTAAATGGGTATGAAACGGGTTTTAAGGATGGTATACAACAATAAGGGGGTTGGAAGGAAGCGTCCTGGTTATTGTGAAAGCATTGGTGTTTTTGCTCTTGGGTTAAAGATGTATATGGAGATGTATACAAATGTGTAAAGAAGCTATGTAAAGAGAGGAACTGTGGCTTTCGTTTGAAGAAGATCCTGTGACTGATGGAGACAGAAGAAAGAAGTTGCGGACTTGTCGGGAAGATGTTGATTTTAGTATGGTTTTAAGTTGGTATGTTCCTTAATAAAATAATTATTAAAAAAAAAAAAATCTGAGGGGGGGCTGGGGTAGGAGACTGGACCTGGGGGCGGGGGCTGGGGGCAGCGTGCTTTGTGCCAATCTTTTCTGCAGAGCACATGGGATAAGTAAAGGAAGTCTGTGCTCAGAGATCCTGCTGAGGCTGTCTGTTTTCAAAGAAAGCAGCTGCTAAACTTGATGGCTAGGTGTAAAAGAGCTGAGAACGATTCCAGCATGGGCCCATTTGAACACGCCTTCTGAAAGACAAGGCAAGACACCCTGCGAAAGACTGCCTGCCTGCCTGCCTGCCTGCCTGCGCCAGCTCCCTCTGGCTCTTTCCAGCCCTCCCAGCCTTTTCGTTCTGGCTCACGTCTGACCCCGAAAGCATTCCCCCTTTGTTCAGTTTGGTTTGTTTTGTTGCATAAAAGTGTGATAACAACATCCAAAGCTTTCTGGCATCCTAAAGCCCAGCATCTCCATCTCCATGCTGCCCCTGGCTCCCCCTCGGCTGCACGGTCCTAACCACATTTTCTGCACTCAGGCACGGGCACAGGCACGGCTTTTCCTCCTGACAGCTGCCCCTCCCCTTCAAGGCTTCCGACAGCCAGAGCATGTCAACGCCACTGCGTGCCTGCCCGATCCCCAAGGGCCCTGCATGACACAGGACCCCTCAGTTAAGTGGGGGGGGGCTTCAGTTTGCGGCAGTTTGAAGAACAAAGGTGCTTCATTTCATCTCTCTCTCTGGGACTGGTACTACATACTGCATGCAACCTGGAACAATAAAGACAAATCCAAGTCTTTCCTTGATACACATACCCACTATTCTCTTCATCACGTAAACATCTCAAACATGTAACGCAAGACATTTACCTTGTACAAAATAGATGTCATCCGAGTAATATCCGTGGTGAGAGCAGGGTTTCCTGGTATAGGAGATAAGCTTGTGACAGCTGGCTATTTTTCAATACTGCACATACAGTATGGAGTTCCTTTAAGTATATATGGTGCCCAGGTGCTGAGGTGAGTTTTCTGACAAGCATGCAGAGATGAACAGATTCCTGAGGAATTACTAGTGGAAATTAGTAACCAAATCTTCCAGTTTTTGTGTTCCAAGATTTTTTCCCTCCGGAAACATCCAAGATGGAAGATAACCTGACCATCTTCGTGGTACACAAACACACGCATGGGAATTCTCTTCTTGACTTCTCTTCAGGAGTCCAGCCAGGACAATTAAGGCCTCTGTGAGCCCCTCACCAGTATAAGCACTGCACCCTCTTATCTCCCAGTTGCGGTTATTGAAGCATTCAGGATTTAGGTTTTCTTGCAGCTCTGGAAGGGAGAGTGCCCCTGGCAGCTCCTGTTTGTTGGCCAGAAGCAAGACTGGAACTCTGATCAGGTCTGTGTTATTCAGAACTTTCTCCAGCTCAACCACTGCATCCGGCAGCCGAGTTCTGTCACTACTGTCCAACACAAAGATGAGGGCATCTGTGCCTTCCAGGTAGTTCTTCCAGCTGGCACAGAGCTTGTCTTGACCACAAACATCCCAGAGAGTCAAAGATATATGACAGGGAGTTTCCAGAGATTCCACATCAAAGCCCACTGTTGGGGAAGTTTGCATAACCTCGCCACTCTTCAGTTCGTACAAGAGGGTGGACTTGCCGGCAAAATCCAATCCTAGTATGACAACCCGAGCATCTCTTCTGAATCGAGCCTTGAAGCTCCAATTCCCCATCTTGCTGCTGCTGTTGAAATCTCAATGAAAATTTGTAAATAATAATAATTATTATTATTTAAAAAATCCTTTCTCGACAGAAATTCTTACTACAATTAATACAAGTAACACATGAATAGAGTGACAAACCCTTTGGAAATGGGATGGTAGGACCCAGTGCACCACCAGCTTTTACGTCTGATATGCAGGCAAATCCAACGAATTAAGATTTGCTGAAAGAACAAACAACCAGCTGCTTTTAGCTTTCCACTGTAACTAAAGAGGGGCAAGTTATATTATTAATGAGATGTAGAGCAGAGTCAATAAATAGGGTTTGAAATAACAAATGGATTCTATATTACTATTTTCCACCTCTAAGTTCCATTTGCATTCACAACCTGAAATTACTGAGAGTGAGGATTTAAATGATGCCAACATCTTGCCAGAAATGGTAGACTGTAGAGCTAGCTTCCTCCTCCTCCTCCTCCTCCTGTGTACAGAAATAAGTGACCTTTTCCTCATCAGTCTGACCAGGGAAAATCCACTCCATCAAAGACAAAGAGGAAAATAAACTATTCTATTGCAAAGCAAGTGTCCCTGCTGGCAAGTGCTGAATCAGAAACAGAGGTCATTAGAGAATCAAGAGACAGCCAAAAAGCTTCTTAGCCACTCTTGAGTGAAAGTGAATAAAATAATATTCCCCACTGCAGCAGCTGTCATTCACCAGCTGCTATGTAGACAACAAAATAGAGATTTCAAGAAATATATATGAATGAGTTTTTCAATAACACTTTGAAATGCAGTCGGCAAAAACCCTCTCCACAAGGCAGAAAGGCGAAGTGCTTTACGACACATCTCACACGAGGGAGGTGGGGCCAGTATTCTATGGCAAGAACAAACACCATATTATCCTTTAAAACCGTGCATGGATTAGACAGACACAACTTGAGTGCACGTGCTAGAGCAGGGGTCCCAAACCATGGTACATGTATCCCTGAGGGTACACAACACATCTCTGGGGGGTATGTGGGAGAAATGGTGTAGTGGCAGATTTAATTTTCATCCTAATAATAGTTGGCATTTAATGGGTTGCAATATAAAATGAATGCTAGTGGGGTATGCAGGTAGCTGGTAAATCTGGACGGCGGCACGCAATAAGAAAAATTCTGGGAACCTCTGTGCTCTGTGCTGGGAACCTTAGCATCAGTGGGATGAATACAAGGAAGTTCTATGCTGCTGAAATACCTTGCAGTTACTCAGACAAGTGCTGCTGCTAGCAGTTGTATGGTATGCCAGCAAAACAGGCATCTAACATTATATGGTAGGATTTGCATATTAAGACTGCTCAAATGCACACAGAACACAGCAAGCCACAATGGCTGTAACACTCTGGGTACAGTATCTATTACTGGAGACCTTTTGTTTTCTCTCCACCCTTGTCCCAACAAGGAAAATAAAATCTGATTTGTTTTTCTCTTAAATTGCAGAGATCGTCCCTGTTCCCAGGGAAGCTGCAAACTCATTCTCATTTCATCTCTCTCTCTGGGACTAGTACTATATACTGCATACAGCTTAGAACAATAAAGACAAATCCTAGTCTTTCCTTGACACACACACCCATTATTCTCTTCATCACATAAACATCTCAAACATGTAACACAAGACATTTACCTTGTACAAAATAGGTGTCTTCACTGCCTCTTAGCCTCCTCTGGCAGACTTCTGTGCTCCCCCCACTTTTCAGATTTGCCTAATCCAGGGATCCCTGACCCTCATGGGACATGCCCTGGGCAGCTGCCAGGGGACATCTGTCATCCCCCGAGGTCACATCCATTCGTGCATGCAGTTCCGAGTGTCTGTTTGTGATTTTGATTTAATTTTTGGCATTGTCGAGGCTCTGAAAGCAGCTGATCAGGAAGTATTCAGTCCCAACAGCTGGTCTCTGGCATTGATTAACTCAAATCAGGGCTTCTGCTCCTTTAACAATGAAGTTTCAAGGAGTTTCCAGCTCTGTATTGATCCTTTCCTCTTGTTAGCCTGCGGTTTTGGTTTCGTAAGTGTTTTATCCTTGCTCGTTAACTCATTGGAGTACTGTGTCCAGTTCTGGGCGCCACATTTCAAGAGGGATGCAGAGAATCTGGAGAGGGTCCAGAGAAGGGCCGCTCGTATGACTAATGGCATCCGTGCAAGACCCTACAAGAGGAGATTGAGGGATCTGGATCTCTTCAGCCTTCGCAAGAGACGTCTGAGGGGAGACCTTGTAGCAGGCTATAAATTGATCAAAGAAGGACAACAGAGAGTTGGAGATGTGCTATTTACCAGGCACGCCTAGGAGTAACTAGGAACAATGGGTACAAACTAGCGGACAGCAGATTCAGGTTAGCCATTAGGAAAACATTTTTCACAGTAAGGGTGGCCAGAATCTGGAACGGGCTGCCAAGAGAGGTGGTACTATCACCTAACTTGGAGGCCTTCAAGAGGAGGCTAGATAGGCAGCTGGCTGGGGTCATCTGACCTCAGTCCTTTTCCTGCCTGGGGCAAGGGGTCGGACACGATGATCCTTCCGACTCTACAATCTATGAATCTATGAATCTCATACTGAATCTCATTCATATTTCTCATCTCATATTGTAGCTAGCTACTGTAGTTACGCAATCACTTACTCACTCCCATTCATAGAGATCAGCCCAATACACAGAGACAGTAATTCGATTACCACCCTTGCTACTATTGTTAGAGTACAACTTACTTCTAAAAATAAAATACATTTGTTACAAGATTGAAAGCATAAAATATAAAATATGAAAGGTAAAATGCCATGGCACATACAATAGATAAAATACCAAATACAATGAGGGGCAAAATACAAATGCACAATACTACATAATATCTATATAAGCCCTTGTCAAATGTGATTTCATAGAGTATCAATTTTATAGAATACCTAAATAATTTAATATCCTTATAGTGAAAAAAAAGAAAAGACAGGAGGAAGGAAGAAAAGGCAGAAGAAAGCAAAATACCCCAAGGAGGGGTTGGCAGTGCAGGCAAGAAGCCTCTGCAATGTGGAGGGGGCTTTATGGTATTGGGGCAGGCAAAAAGGGGGCTTCATGTTGCATTATTCCCGCTCTTGACATTGGTCATCAGGGTAACGTCACTATATCATTCGGGCCAATATTTTAGCCTCATCTATCCTGGCATGTATTGTACATAGTGTAGACATGAGTTTACAATACAAAAATATAGTTAGGGATGTCAGGGATGGCAAGTAGAGGGGTGCACGTACACCCCCCTGAGCATGGTGGTGCACACCCTACAAAATGGCACCGCCGACACTTTCAGCGGCGCCTGCAGGCGGTCACCACTCGCCACCCCACTGCTGCCGGCATCTGCGAGCAGTCCGTGATCACCACTGGTCGCCATCGACACTGCTGGCCATGCCTGTGGATGGTCGCCAACCCCTGGTCGGTGCTCGCCACTCCTGCCGGGAGCAGGGAGCTCCCTGCTAACTGCCGCTGTGCTCCTGCTGCCACCAGCACAGCCATGCCCCCACAGCCGCCGGGGGCATGCACCATTCATGAGGGATGCTAAAATTGTCATTAGGATAAACAGTATTACAATGAGGTGTGTCATAAGATTCAGGATTCCAGTGGCTGTTGGGGACCAGTCCAGGAGAGTTTCCCAAGGGCTGTAGTGGGTGACTTCTTTGATTTTGATGAGTACTTGGGTAACCTGGTAGCTATTAGTTTGGATGATAGTGTACATTTTATTAGCTTAGGACTGTAATGCCTATAAGGCCTGTCAGAGTTCTGGGTGTGTGATGGCATGTCTAAGGGCTTGGGGGGACATGCCTAAGTGGACTGGGGTGAGTTTAGATTTAAAGAGGCTGTATTGTGAGAAGATGAACTGACGTGGCGTTTTTCCTTTTGTACTGTATGTCACACCCAGTAAGGGATCTGACATTACACAAAGGTTATGTTGCAAGTCAGTAATATCATAAAATTCATTTACAGTGATAGAGGGGCATAGGGTGCGGAGATGGACACATCCAAAATGAATGTTGACAAGTAGGGATTGAACACTGGGGTCTCTTAACATTACATAGGGACAAACTGAAAAGTCAGGACCAAAGGAAAGGGTTTGGGATTGTAACACGAGTTCTTCACAGAGGAAACCACAGCCAATGTCTTCACAGTTATTGAAAGCAATGGCCTTGAATTGGCCTTGAGGTTGCTTTAGAGCCCAATGTTTGCCTGTCTGTGGGATCACGAACGTGTCATTGATCCCACTTCCCAATGTTACGACTGGGAATACTTGGTCTATTTTTCCACTAACCACCCCCATGATTATAAGATTGATGGACCACGAATTTGGGTGAAACCCAAATTGCATTAGTCGGTTGTAAGGGTTTAACTGTGAAGACTGCTTGGTTTCATTCATTAAAAGCTTTGGCAGTTCTAGGGGGAAGCGTCCTTCCAGGCCTTGGAATATGATACCCTTTAATTACATCTAGGTACCATACTTGGGCCTGGATACACACGAGGGTGACACAGATGTTTTGCCACAGGACAGGGGTGGACAATTATTTCAGGCAGAAGGCTGCTTACCTAGTTTTGGCAAACTGTCAAGGGCTGTATGGGTATCTCCGCCCCTTGACAGGTGCCCCACCCCCTGGTCACCATCTTGGGACCAATGTCCCAGGGCCAGCATCGGTGGGGCCCAGAGCAGGGCGCAGGCTGACAGGGGTCTGTGGAGCAGGGCTGGGCTGCACCAGCAGGGAGAGGGGGGAGCTGGCCTGGCTCCATAAGAGCCCCTGCCAGCCAAGACACTGTACCCCTGCCACCCTGCTCTATGCCCTGCTGGCACTGGCCCTGGAACACCAGTCCGGGCCCTGTGCTCCCATGCCCGCTTACTCCCAGTGCCCCCCCCAGCCCTGCGGTACAGGCGGGGGGCAGCGCACAGCCCCGACCCCCTGCTCACTGCCAGTGAAGGAGCTGGTGCAGAATGCAGGGAAAAGTGGCCTCTTGTCTGCCCTGTGGTCCACACTCCTTACTGCAGCCGCTCACAGCCCACGCAGGGCTGTCCTGAGCAGGCGCAGGCACAGGCAGCCCCACATGGGCTGCGAGCGGCTGGGGGGGGGACCCCACCCAGGGGCCCCTTTTCCCCGTGCTCAGCACCAGCTTGTAAGCTGCCCCCGCTGCCAGCCTGAGCCCCGCCTCGGCTCCGGGATCATGCATCCGGGCTGCGCTGCAGCAGCTGCAGCCTCCCCACTTGCCAGTGCTTGCTGCTGCCCACCCGGAGCTCCCACACTGGGCAACACAAAGTCGGCAGTGGCCGGCACTCCCCAGCCGGCTTGAGGTCTAGGCAGGCAGCAGCAGCAAACACTGCACAGTGCAGCTGCTGCGGCGCAGCCCCAACGGGCGAGCCCGGAACTGGTGCGGGGCCGAGTTACAAGCTAGTGCTGAGTGCGGGGGAAAAGCGGCCCCTCCCCCGCCCCATGGCCGGCATCCCGCACTGCAGCTGCTCGCAGCCCGCATGGGGCTGGCTGGGCCTAGGACAGCCCCATGCGGGCTGAGAGTGGGTGCAGCAGGGAACACCAGCCACGGGGCAGGCAAGGGGCTGCTTTTCCCCACGCTCTGCACCAGCTCCTTCCCTGCCTTCCCCCTGCCCTTACCTGAGTTTCCCGCACAAGGGCAGCCACGTGGTCCCAGGTCAGAAGCCCCTCCTGGGGCTTCTGGCTGGTGGGGGGACAGGGCCAGGCAGGCCCTGATGTTGCAGGAGCCCACCAAAGATTCCCCTGGGTCCTACTGTCCCCTGGTGCCTATCATTTTTGACAGGAACCAAGGACAGATACATTTTAATTTTCAAAATTTTTTTTAGGGGCCCCGCAGACCAGATAGAATGGCTTTGCGGTCCAAATCCAGCCCATGGGCTGTATTTTGCCCACCCCTGCCCTAGGACTACAATAGCATCTGTTAGGGTGTGGGGGTCCTGGGAAGCCACTTGAGTGATCCACTGCATGAGGTAATAGAGACCCTTAGCTGGATGGAGGTTTCAAAACTGCTCCTTTAGGTTCATTCAACTGGTGAAGCAAATTTCCAACCATTGCTAATTTGTTCCGGAGCACCTCTGCATTGATGGTATTTAGGACACTGGTGCCAGTTCCAATTGCTCCCAACATGGTGTCCAGCAATCATCGGCGTTGTGAGCCACTGGATCCAGAGCTGTTGGAGGGCTATGTATGACCTGCTGAGACCATAACAGCCATCCAGTGTTCAGTGGGATAACATAGTTGCCACAATGTAGATACAGCTGGGTGATACTGTGGGGTTGCAGATTGATAGTAACATTCCATAAAGATTGTGTTGTAATAGTCAATAAAGGTTTACTGATATCTTGTTTTACTACAAAGGGTCTGATTTCATGTTTTTCCACCTTGTCATGGATTATGACTGCTGTAGTTAGGGTTGGGGAGCCATTGAAAGTAGAAGCTTCCCACACACCAGAGCTGGATAAGGAGAAATTATATACTAGGATGCCACAGGTAAACAGAGGGTATTCCTCAGAACAGCTGGTGGCATTAAGGGTAAAGTTCATGAGTTCAGATTTTGGTTGGGTAAGGGTGACAGGTAGCTGTCCTTGCAGGGAGCTGATGGTCATTCGTACTGAGAGATCTGGATCAGTACCATTATTGTCCCAACATGCCCAGGTGGTGTGTTCCCCACCAGTCAGGGGGCTGGAGAAGTTCCATGCTATCCAGGATCAAGTAGGAGG